ACCTGCCCCTCCTTATACACCTGCCCTCCTTCTGTTCTTCCTACTTCATTCTCCTTATACACACCTGCCCCACTTATACACACCTCCCCTCACTTATACACACCTGTTCTCACTTATACACACCTGCTCCTCCTTATACACACCTGTTCCTCCTTATACACCTGCTCTCCTTATACACATCTGCCCCTCCTTATACACACCTGCCCCTCCTTATACACACCTGCCCTCACTTATACACACTGCTCCTCACTTATACACAACTGTTCTCATATGCACCTGCCCTCCTTATACACCTGCTCCTCCTTATACACAACTGTCCTCCTTATACACACTGCCCTCACTTATACACCACCTGCTTATACACCTGCCCTCACTTATACACACCTGCCTCTTATACACACTGTTTCTCCTTATACCTGCCCCTCATATACCTGCTCTCACTTATACACCTGCCCTCACTTATACCTGCCCTCACTTATACACACCTGTCCTCTTATACACACCTGCCCTTATACACACCTGCCCCTCCTTATACACACCTGCCCCTCACTTATACACACCTGCCCCTCATGCACACACCTGCTCCTCCTTATACACACCTGCCCCTCACTTATACACACCTCCCTCCCTTACACCTGCTCCTCCACACACACCTGCCCTCATATACACACTGTTTTATCCACACACCTGCCCTCCTTATACACCTGCTCCTCACTTATACACACCTGCCCCTCACTTATACACACCTGCTCCTCACTTATACACCCACCCCTCACTTATACACACTGCCCTCACTCACACCTGCCCTCCTTATACACACCTGGTCCTCCACTTATACACACCTGCTCCTCACTTGCACACCTGCCCTCCTTATACCTGCCCTCACTTGCCTGCCTCCTTATACACACCTGCCCTCCTTATACACACCTGCCCCTCCTTATACACACCTGCCCTCACTTATACACACCTGCCTCCTTATACACCTGCTCCTCTTATACACACCTGTTCCTCCCTTATACACACCTGCCTCCTTATACATACCTTCTCCTTATACACACCTGCCCCTCACTTATACACACCACCTTCTCACTTATACACACCTGCCCTCACTTATACACACCTGTTCCTCACTTATACACTGCCCTCCTTATACACACCTGCCCTCCTTATACACACACCTGCCCCTCACTTATACACACCTGCTCTCCTTATACACACCTGCCCTCCTTACTACTGCCCCTCCTTATACACACCTGCCCCTCCTTATACACACCTCCTCCTTATACACACTGCTCCTCACTTATACACCTGCCCTCACTTATACACACCTGCCCCTCACTTATACACACCTGCCCTCCCTTACACACACCTGCCCCTCACTTATACACACTGCCCCTCATATACCCACCTGCTCCTCCCTTATACACACCTGCTCCTCACTTATACCCACCTGCTCCTCACTTATACACACCTGCTTCTCCTTATCCACACCTGCCTCCTTATACACCAACTGCTTCCTCTTATACACACCTGGTCCTCCTTATACACACCTGCTTCTCACTTATACACACCTGCTCCACTTATACACCTGCTCTCCTTATACACACCTGCCCTCACTTATACACCTGCCCCTCACTTACCACTGCCCCTCACTTATACACCTGCCCCTCACTTATACACACCTGCCCCTCATATACCTGCCCCTCACTTATACACAACTGCCCTCACTTATACACACCTGCTCCTCACTTATACACACCTGCTCCTCCCTTATACACCTGCTTCTCCTTATACACACCTGCTCTCACTTATACACAACTGCTTCTCACTTATACACACCTGGTCTCCATATACACCTGCTTCTCCTTATACACACCTGCTTCTCCTTATACAACTTGCTTCTCCTTATACCACCTTCCTCACTTATACACACACCTGCCCTCATATACACACCTGCTCCTCACTTATACACACCTGCTCCTCACTTATACACACCTGCTCCTCACTTATACACACCTGGTCTCCCTTATACACACCTGCCCCACACACACACACACACACACACACACACACACACACACCTGTTCCAAAACACACACAGACAGACACACACCTGTCCCTGACTCACACACACACACACACACACACACCTGTTCCAAACACACACACAGACAGACCACACACCTGTCCCTGACTACACACACACACACACACACACACACACACACACACACACACCTGTTCCAAACACACACAGACAGACACACTGTCCCTGACTCACTCCACACACACACACACACACACACACACACACACACACACACACACACACACTCTCTCCTCTCACACACACACCTTAACTCACAATAGTAGTAGGGTCATAATACACTTCTTGCCAAAGTGTTGTGAATAAGTTTTCCTAACCTTACCTAACCTAACTAACCTACCTTACCTTACCTAACCTAACCTAACCTAACCTAACCCAACACCTAACTAACTAACCTAACCCTAACCTAACCTTCACCTAACCTAACCCTAACCTTACTAACTTTACCTACACAGTGGATCGTGGTTTCACAGTCTCGGATTTGCTACATGACTTTCACTTACTTCCTGCACCTGACTCTTGCTCTGTTGTGTGTGTGTGAGAGAGAGAGAGAGAGAGAGAGAGAGAGGATGGTAGTCTTTTCTCTGCATCACATGACCTTCAGCGGTACACAACATCCTGCTGAACATATATATTACGTTACTTCTATATATAGCAGGTGACCTCCATATATATTACGTGACCTCCATATGTGTCACGTTATTTCCATATCACGTGACCTCATATATCACGTGACCTCCATATATATCACGTGACCTCCATATGTGTCACCTAACTTTCATATACCACGTAACCAACAGTTAAACATCCGCCACACACACACACACACATATTAAACTATGACAGGTACAGTACACAAGGCCTCATGAGTAGATCTGACAACACTGTGTCTCGTCTCTGTCGCTCTGTTTGTTAGTAGGAAACAAGTCGTGTAAACCATGATGTCATGCCTGATTAGTTACGGCATATTATTTTTCACTTTCGTGTGTCACCAGTCATTATGAGTCACTGTTGTGAGTCACCAGTCATTATGAGTCACTGTTGTCAGTCACCAGTCATTATGAGTCACTGTTGTGAGTCACCAGTCATTATGAGTCACTGTTGTGAGTCACCAGTCATTATGAGTCATTGTTGTGAGTCACCAGTCATTATGAGTCACTGTTGTGAGTCACCAGTCATTATGAGTCACTGTAGTGAGTCACCAGTCATTATGACTGACAGATCAAGCAAGTAACAATGTGTGTGTGTGAGCAACATGTGTACAGCACTGTCTTGCCCCTCAGTGTCAGGTGACAGGTTGAGGAAGATAGTGATAACTGTGTGGTAACGACCCAGGAATGTCGTGTTGTGGGGGAGGATGGATGGGTGGGGGAAGTATGGGTGGGGGGAAAGATGGGTGGCGAAGTATGGGTGGGGAAGGATGGGTGGGGGAAGGATGGGTGGAGGGGATCTTGAGATGTCTTGGTTAGTACTCGCCTGTCAACCTCCTGAGAGAGAGCCCTGTGTCTCAGCTCACTTTCACTTCTCAATAAACAGTCAAAACACTGATTTGGTGTAATATTTCAGCAACATTAAATCTTATCATATTTTAACGTGGACACAAACAGAGAATTTTGGTGACCATGGTGGTGAATCTCTCTCACTCTCTCTCTCTTCATTCTCGCTGTTATACTTGTGTTTAAATCATTATTCCAGAACTACAACCAATATTCTTAAAACAACTACGACTATTATAACAACCACGACCCAGTATATACACGTGGTTGTAAGCATAAGCCAGAGTGTTGGTGTGAGCAAGAGTCTGGTTGTGATGGTCTGGTTAGGTGAGAGTTGTAAACACCCTTGTATGTGAAGGTGTAATGTCTTAGTCTGTGTTATGTCTAGTGTGTGTGTGTGTGTGTGTGTATGTGTGTGTGTGTGTGTGTGTGAGCGTGTGTGTGTGTGTGTGTGTGTGTGTGTGTGTGTGAGCGTGTGTGTGTGTGTGTGTGTGTGTGTGTGTGTGTGTGTGTGTGTGTGTGTGTGTGTGGGCGGGCGTGTGTGTGTGGGCGGGCGTGTGTGTGTGTGTGTGGGCGTGTGTGTGTGTGTGTGTGTGTGTGTGTGTGTGTGTGTGTGTGTGTGTGTGAGCGTGTGTGTGTGTGTGTGTGAGCGTGTGTGTGTGTGTGTGTGTGTGTGTGTGTGTGTGTGTGTGTGTGTGTGGCGGGCGTGTGTGTGTGGGCGGCGAGCGTGTGTGTGTGTGTGTGTGTGGGCGGGCGTGTGTGTGTGTGTGTGTGTGTGTGTGTGTGTGGGCGGGCGTGTGTGTGGGGCGTGTGTGTGTGTGTGTGGGCGACGTGACGCAAGACAGCCAAACTGCCAGGTGAGATAACAGGAGTGTCTACGTGTTGTGGACCAGGATCACTGCCTGGCTGGCCTCCTTGTTCCCTAATAGATTGAGTATTTCAGTAAGGTCATACGTATTTCTCTCAGTCAACAACTGAGGTCTATAAACACGTACTCTTATGCAGTAGAGTCCATTTACTAGAGTAACTAGAGAACAGCATCCAGGGTGTTAAGCACGTACTCTAAGTAGGTCAGTACACTACACAATAACTAAGGTCTCACTCTGTGTTTTATATAGATGGTCGTGCTTCAAGAACTAAGCTTTTGAAACACGTGCGCTAATTCAATTTGTTATTCTTTATGATATAATTAGCAAATTAATTGGTGGTGGTATTGGTGATGATGATGAATTAATTACGATGTAGTCAAATAATTTATGATATACAACTAATTATTTTTCCGTATAGCTAAATGTCTAGGTAATGTTAATTATTTTCACTATAACCAACTATTTCTGGTATGTTAGTAGGATATTTTTTCAGCCATATACTGTATTAAGAGCTGGTTCCTCCCACAGGGTCGGTGAAGCCACGGATGGAGGCCGTGACGGTGGTGGCGGGAGGCGAGGCTGTTCTCGTCGTCTCCCTCGAGAACGTCCAGGCGGCCAAGATCACCTGGTGAGTACCTGAGACCTGAGGTGGTGGGCAGGGTATGGTGGGTATAAGAACATAAGAACATAAGAATGGAGGAACTGCAGCGGGCCTATTGGCCCATACTGGAACAGTCCCATTTACCTCGAACCCTATTGCTCATATATCCATCCAACCTATATTTGAAGCTATCCAGCGTATTCGGAGGTTAATGATGATGTTTGGAAACTTGTTCCACTCGTCCATTATATTTCCAAACCGATGTTTACCAATTTCGAGCCTAAATCTAAATTTGTCTAATTCACATTCTAGTATTTATGAGTTCGCTCCCTGGTTGGATAGTTTAGTGCCTTTGTAATGTCCCCTTTGCTTAGCCCTGTCTTCCATTTATACACCTCTATCAGGTCGCCCACCTCCTACGTCTCGAGGGGTGCAAATTAGATACTTTAACCTGTCTCTGTACTCAAAGGTTCCTAATGCCCGGGAAGTAGTCTTGTCGTTCTCCTCTGAATTCTTTCCAAGGATTCTATAGCCATTCATAATACTGTGACAGGGTGAACTGCGTAATCCAAGTGAGGTCTCACAAGTGCAAGATATTGTTTTAGGATGACCTCGCTAGTCTTATAACTAACACTCCTTTGTATGAACCCAAATTGCTATAGCCTTGTTTTTCGAGCAAATACACATTCACTTTCTTGCAGTCAGTTCTCCAATAACATCGTTGTTCATCTAATCTGGTTTCCATGTTTACATCTCCTACACTGGAGTACTTCATTTGTCACATTGAATTTCATCTACCATTTTTCAGACCATTCAGAAAATTTGCTTAGATCTTCTGTAGTTTTCTTGAGTCCTCGTCCAGATTTAATTGCACGTCTTCTATTAGTGTCATCAACAGAATTTACTTATGTTGCTGTCTACGTCGATATCTATGTCGTTTTATGTATATAATAAATAATAATGGTCCATGTGCTGAGCAGGGGAACTCCACTAGTGACGTTGCTCCAATCGGATTTAGTGCCGTTAATGCTCACTCATGTTTCCTGTCCTGTAACCACGCCTAATCCATTTTAGAATATCTCCTTTAATGCCATGAGCCTCCACTTTTCTTATTAGTCTTTCGTGAGGGACTCTGTCAGAAACTGCTGAGATTGAATGTCTACATCATAGTGTGCCCTCGTCCACTGATTCGAAAGCAGGTGGAAAGAATGTTATAGATTGATTGGAGCATGAACGCCCGCTTGTGAAGCCATATTTGTGATCATTGATCAACTTGTGCTTCTTCAGGTGATTTCGAATAGAGTTTGAAATGATTGCTTCCAGTAATTGCCTACAATTGATGTTAGACTAGTTGGACGGTAGTTAGAGGATAGTGATCTATCTCCCTTCTTGAAAATAGTTGGCCATTCGCTATCCCCAGGATTCTGGTACTACACCCGTTTTTGAGGACATGTTAAACAACTTTGCTAAGGGCATACTAAGCTCTTCCTTACATTCCTTTAATACTCTGGCAAATATCTCATCGGGACCTGGTGACTTATTAGGCTTTGGATTTGTCTGTTGCTTACTAACATCGTTACTAGTCACTACTATCTCGCTTAATTTGTTTTCTTCACTATCTCTGAATAGAGTTACGTGCCACTCCAGGTATCATGTTTAAATTTTCGGTGGTGGCTTTATTTGAAAAAATGTTTTATTCAGATTATTGTTCATTTCCTCCGTCGTTATCAGTTAGCTCGCCGGTATCTGACTGTATTGGTCCAATCTTTTCTCGTGTTTTAGTTTATTACATTTGATAGAATCCATGAGGTTTGACTTCGCCTCCTTGCTACACTTCAAAGTTCGTATTCCTCTTTTGCTTTTCTTATCTCGGTCTTAACCCTACCAGCCAATACCCTTATAATAATTATCTCGGAAATTAAACTTCACCAGGTATTCTCCCCTACCTATAGTATTCCTTTGTCCAATAATATTCTTGAAATAATTATTTATCCATTTAGGGTCATTGTTGTTTGATCTGAGTTTTCTGTGGGTATGTTCTGCCTTTGTGCATTAAGTAACTCATTATTTAAATTGTTGTGGAACTCGTCAACCTCAGATCTTGTGATCGGGTCTCCAGGTAAGGTGAGGTCTCCCTCTGTGGGTACTTTGTGTGAGGTCACCTTATGTGAGGTCATGTAATTCACCCTCAAGCGTGATTCCCCTTCTCCCATCTGCCTCTTCAAACTATCAAAGTTTGCCCTACTGAAATCTGAGACTTTAGTGGAATTTTTCTTGCGGCTCATCCTGAAATTCTAATTGGAATCTTGACTGCTTTTGTAGTCGCTGTTAGCAAGTTCGTTCCCTACCTCCAACATTACTGTAGGGTTTTTCTCTGTTTGATAGAACTAAATCGAGTATATTATTACCCCGGGTGGGTTCGGTTATATGTTGGCTTAAGAAACAGTCCTGGATGGTTTCAAGAAAAGCCTCTGATTCACAGATGCCGTAAGCTCAATCCAATCTATTTGGCTAAAGTTATAGTCGCTTACCGCAAGACTTTGCTATGTACGGATGCCCTGCGCATTTCATCTCAAATAAGTCGCTCATTAACTATATCAATATTAGGAGGTCTATATATTACTCCTGTGATTAATTTTTCCCGACCATCGATTAATTCTATCCAAATTGTTTCTGTATTTTGCTCAGTATTTATTTCCTTATTTATTTCACACTTCAGATTATCCTGCATAGATTGCTACTCCGCCTCCTTTCTTAATCTGCCTATCGGTATGGAATAATTTAGGACGGAAGGAACTGAGGTATGGAGGGAGGTGTGGGTAGGACTATAGAGGTAGGTAGGAGGGTAGAGGTAAGGAGGTATTGAGGTATGGATGGAGGTGGGTAGTAGGGTAGAGGTAGGATAGGGCGTAGGGAAGAGGGGCAGTACAGTATTTTTTCTCTAGTTGACAACAGGTGCAGACCAGAGCTCATGTGAGGGGCATCTTTGGCGCTCTTGATGCGTGTGTAATGGCTGGCGGGGGGGTGTGACGGCTTCTGGGTGGGGTGGGGGCGTGTAATGACTTCTGGGTGGGGTGCGGGCGTGTAATGGCTTCTGGGTGGGGGGCGTGTGATAGTTGCTGGGTGGCAGGGGGGATGAGGGCGTGTAATGGTTTCTGGGAGGTGGGCCTGGTGCTGATGGGTGGGGATGGGCGTGTGATGGCTGCTGGGTGGGGGTGGACGTGTGATCGCTGTTGGATGATGGGGAGGCGTGTGATGGCTGCTGGGTGACCGGGGGGATACTCTCGCAGAAACATCTTAATACTTCTGTTCTAATCTCTGATGATCCATAAGACCAAGAGAGTTCGGAGACTCGTTCAGTAGTTCCGAGTCTCAGGCGTGTTAAGGGAGATTAGATCATGAGTGTACATCTGGGAGTGACCTTTGGTATGAAGGCAGTAAAGTGGACCCGACGAGTAATAGAAGGACTCTGCAAAATTACTAAACATGCGTTGACAGGATCAGTTGTCTTTAATGATTCCCGAAAGAACTTTTTGGTTGGGAACGGAAAGCAAATTTATAAGAAAAAGTATTGTAACATTTACAGTTAAATCTGTGTGCGTGTGTGTGCGTGCGTGCATTCGTGAGTGTGTGTGTGTGTGTGTGCGCGTGCGTGCGTGCGTGCGTTCTATCAGAAACCAACAGTTTATTACCAATAATTATACAGGCATTCTGTTTACACTTGGCTCAGGGTCAAGGTTAGGAGGTTGCGCGTGTAGGTCGGGAGAGAGTGGGTGTAAGTCGGGAGGGAGTGGGTGTAAGTCGAGAGGGCATGGGTGTAGGTCGGTTGGGCATTGCTAATAGGTAGATGTGAGTCCTGTAGTTGCTTCTTAAGGCAGGCAATATCACGTTCTCTTGTGGCGGCAACATTGTAAGGAAAATTCTTGAACAACATTTATAAGTGTTGATGATAAGTCACTAATAAGAGTAGGTGGCAGTGTGGGTGGTGGTGGTGTGGGTGGTGATGGCGTGTGTGGGTGGTGGCAGTGTGGGTGGTGATGGTGGTAGTGTGGGTGGTGGTGGTGTGGGTGGTGATGGTGGTAGTGTGGGTGGTGGCAGTGTGGGTGGTGATGGTGGTGTGGTGGTGGTAGTGGTGTGGGTGTGATGATGGTGGTGGTGTGGGTGGTGGTGGTGTGGGCTGTGGTGGTGCTGTGGGTGTGGTGGGGTGGTGGTGGTGTGGGTTGTTGTGGGTGTGGGTGGTGGTGTGGTGTGGGTGGTTGAGGTGGTGTGGGTGGTGGTGGTGGTGGTGGTGTGGGTTGTGGTGGTTGTGTGGGTGGTGGTGGTGGTGTGGTGTGGGTTGTGGTGGGGAGTGTGGGTGGTGGTGGTGGTGTGTGGGTTGTGGTGGTTGTGGGAGGTTGGGGTAATGTGGGTGGTGGTGGTAGTGTGGTGGTGTGGTATAGTGTGGGTGGTTGGGGTGGTGTGGGTTGTGGTGGTAGTGTGGGTTGTGGTGGTTGTGTGGGTGGTTGGGGAGTGGGGTGGGTGGTGGTGGTGGTAGTGTGGGCTGTGGTGGTTTGTGGGGGTGGTTGGGGAGTGGTGTGGGTTTGGTGGTGGTAGTGTGGGTTGTGGTGGTTGTGTGGGTGGTTGGGGTGGTGTGGGTTGTGGTGGTAGGTGTGGGTTGTGGTGGTTGTGTGGGTGGTGGTGGTTGTGGTGGGTGGTTGGGGTGGTGTGGGTTGTGGTGGTAGTGTGGGCTGTGGTGGTTGGGGTAGTGGGTTGTGGTGGTAGTGTGGGTTGTGGTGGTTGTGTGGGTGGTTGGGGTAGTGTGGGTTTGTGGTGGTTGTGTGGGTGGTTGGGGTGAGTGTGGTGGTGGTGTGGTAGTGGAGGGTTGTGGTGGTAGTGTGGGTTGTGGTGGTTGTGTGGTGCTGGTAGTGTGGGTGGTTGGGGTGGTGTGGGTTGTGGTGGTAGTGTGGGTTGTGGTGGTTGTGTGGGTGGTTGGGGTGGTGTGGGTGGTGGTGGAGTGTGGGTTGTGGTGGTTGTGTGGGTGGTTGGGA